TTTGGGGGGGGAGTTTGCCCCACCAAAATGTACATGCTAAAATCGCCACTGTTCTTGTTGCTTTCCGAATCATCTCTTGTATCTCAACTGGCACATTATTTTCCCTTGCTTCCAGCCTAGCATTTAGTTTGGTACAGCGGGGGTTAATATAAGCCTCGCCATCTGCCTGTCCGACCTCAAAAACTATTTCGATCTCTATAGTACCACGTGCTCTCACCACTGGTGTCCCCCAGGGCTCAGTTCTATTCTCCCTATACACCAAGTCACTTGGCTCTGTCATATCCTCACATGGCCTCTCCTATCATTGCTACGCTGACGACACACAACTAATCTTCTCCTTTCCCCCTTCTGATAACCAGGTGGCGAATCGCATCTCTGCATGTCTGGCAGACATATCAGTATGGATGACGGATCACCACCTCAAGCTGAACCTTGGCAAGACGGAGCTGCTCTTCCTCCCGGGGAAGGACTGCCTGTTCCATGATCTCGCCATCACGGTTGACAACTCCGTTGTGTCCTCCTCCCAGAGTGCGAAGAGCCTTGGCGGGACCCTGGACAACACCCTGTCGTTCTCCGCTAACATCAAGGCGGTGACCCGATCCTGTAGGTTCATGCTCTACAACATTCGGAGAGTACGACCCTGCCTTACACAGGAAGCGGCACAGGTCCTAATCCAGGCACTTGTCATCTCCCGTCTGGATTACTGCAACTCGCTGTTGGCTGGGCTCCCTGCCTGTGCCATTAAACCCCTACAACTCATCCAGAATGCCGCAGCCCGTCTGGTGTTCAACCTTCCCAAGTTCTCTCACGTCACCCCGCTCCTCCGCACACTCCACTGGCTTCCAGTTGAAGCTCGCATCTGCTACAAGACCATGGTGCTTGCCTACGGAGCTGTGAGGGGAACGGCACCTCCGTACCTTCAGGCTCTGATCAGTCCCTACACCCAAACGAGGGCATTGCGTTCATCCACCTCTGGCCTGCTGGCTCCCCTACCTCTGCGGAAGCATAGTTCCCGCTCAGCCCAGTCAAAACTGTTCGCTGCTCTGGCACCCCAATGGTGGAACAAGCTCCCTCACGACGCCAGGACAGCGGAGTCACTCACCACCTTCCGGAGACATTTGAAACCCCACCTCTTTAAGGAATACCTGGGATAGGATAAAGTAATCCTTCTACCCCCCCCCCGCCCTTACCCCAACCCAAACCCCAACCCCCCAAAAAAATAAAAAAATACATTGTAAAGTGGTGATCCCACTGGCTATAAGGTGAATGCACCTATTTGTAAGTCGCTCTGGATAAGAGCGTCTGCTAAATGACGTAAATGTAAATGTAATAGTACCATACATAGAGTGTGAACGGTGCCCAGACTAGACAACTTTTTCTGAGACAGTCGAAATCACGCATCAAAGTCATTATCATCGACATATCCAAGTAAATGCCAATAGAAAAACAGCTCAAACAAAAATGGAGGTAGTGTACTGTCATTCCAGGTTCAATGTTTGAATTGACTGAGGTAGCAAGTGACAGAACGTTATCCAACCTGCATAGCAACCATTTTGTTTAGAACGGACGACCAGTCCTTTTGCATAGCAACTATCCAAAAATAATGAATGACTGGGTCGCGTCTGTAGCAACAAGACCTAAAGAACTAACAACCAGATTTTTGTCCGGACTATGTCTTCTGGTGGAAGAATGAAATTGTATGAATTGACTTGTAAAAATAACATTAATGAAAATATGGAAATCATTGTTATTTTAATATGTTGGTAACAGTTTTATAAAATCAATAAGGCACACAAGGCAGTGCTGTATCATGACTACAACACCATTTACCTGTGACTATATTCATGACACAGCACTGCCTCTTGTGCCTTGCTTAAATATACTAACACTTACTAACTCTTACTGTCAGAATATTACATCAGTCACTGCATGAGTAAGCTTCAGTCCTATTTGTAACACATTGCCTCTGATCAAATCTATCTGAAGGGGAATTATAGATGTAATGGTGAGATGGTGGATCTGGCTCATCAGAGACCTGCTGTGGGTTTTGATGAAGAGACATGTTGACCGGCTGGTGAACAGTAAGGAAGTGCTGCTTCTCTCACCTACACTATCTGGGTCCGGCTTTGCTCCTGCTGTCTTTTATATTAGCAATTAAAACCTAATTAAGATTATCAGAAGGCGTGGAGGGGTGGCTGCTGGACATGAGTTAAAAATTGCCTTTTTTACCTTAAGCATTTTCTACTTCCTAGAATTCAGGACAAGTTGTGTTAGTGTGTTAGAGACATGTTATACTGCTGGTGGTTAGTTACACCAGTTGACACATTTTTGGAATGGTCACAGGTTAATGAAAGTTTACTTACTTTACTTGGGCCCATCGCTCCTCTCCACTGCACCCTACTTTGGGCAGTCCTCAGCATGCCTGGTTCTCTTGGTGTTGTCTGGCTCATGCTCGTTCCCTTTACTAGGTATTCAGCATGCACACTTGTTTCCCTTGGCCTTGCAGGTTTGAGGAAAGAGCTTGTCTGGTGATGTTGGTGGGGCGGCTTTCAGAGAGAATAGCTGATCCTCCCCATTTTCTCCTCTAAATCTGTGCTCTTACAGGTCAATGCCATTGAACCTGAAACAATCAACTTGTTGAAAGGGATTGCTGAGGGGAACATTAATAATGTTTTTTGAACAACCCCATCAAATGAATGAACTATGTACACTGAGTGTACAAAACATTAGGAACATGTTCCTAATATTGAGTTGCACCCCCTTTTGCCCTCAGAACAGCCTCAATTCGTCAGGGCATGGACTCTACAAGGTGTCGAAGTGTTCCACAGGGATGCTGGCCCATGTTGACTCCAATGCTTCCCACCGTTTTGTGATGTTGGCTGATAGTGGATCTCTATTCCTTATAGCTCATTCCATCTCATCCCACAGATTCTCAATTGGATTGAGATCTGGTGACTGGGCAGGCCACTGCAGTAAGCTGAATTCACCATCATGTTCATGGAACCATTCCTGGATAATCCTAACCTTGTGACATGGGGCATTGTCCTGCTGAAAAAAGAAATGTGTAGATGGATACACTGCTGCCATGAAGGGATGCATCTGATTGGCAATGATGTTCAGATATCCTGTGGCATTCAAACGTTGCTCCACTTTTATCAAGGGGCCCAATGTGTGCAATGGAAACTACCCCACACCATCACACCACCATCACCAGCCTGCAATGTTGACACACGGCAAGATGGATGCATGTACTCATGTGGTTTTCTCCATACCCTAGTCCTCCCATCAGCGTGAAACAGCAGCAGGAACCAGGATTCATCAGACCATGCAATGTTTTTGCAATTCTCCAGTGTCCAGTGTTTTCATTCCTTAGCCCACTGCAACCCCAGTTTCTTGTTTTTTGCTGAAAGAAGTTGAACTCTGTAAGGTCGTCGGCTGCCATACCCCATTAATGTCACCGTACGACGAGTTGTACATTCTTTTATGGGTCTTTGGGCACCTATGTTGTACTGGACTGTCAGTTGACTAACTGTAGCCCGTCTGTTGCTCTGCACAATTTGTGTCAGCCTTCTTTGTCCTCTTTCATCAATTACTATTTTTTTACCACTGGCCTGCCATTGGCTGGATGTCCTTTGGGTGGTGGACCATTCTTGATACACACGGCAAACTGTTGAGCGTGAAAAACCCAGCAGTGTTGCAGTTCTTGACACACTGAAACCGGTGCGCCTGGCACCTACTACTATACCCCATTCAAAGGCAATTCAATTCATTCACCCTCTGAATGGCACACATACACAATCCATGTCTCAATTGGCTCAAGGCTTAAAAATCCTTCTTTAACCTGTCTCCTCCCCTTCATCTACACTGATTGAAGTGGATTTAACAAATGACATCAATAAGGGATCATAGCTTTCACCTGGATTCACCTGGTCAGTCTATGTCATGGAAAGAACATCATGTTCCAAAATTTTTTAACACTCAGTGTATATGAAAAACAAAAAATAACAGTGATATACAAAACATTTGGTTGCAAAACACTTCAACAGGACAAATAAAGCATTGAAAAAACATTATCCTCAATACAGTATTCATCACGGTAGCCATGTTCAGAGACCTCTCTCCTGTCACGTGGACAGAACATGATATTATTAGTATCACAGCATGCAGCAGGTTACATGGAAAATAATAGACGTTGTGGTACAAACAGAGTTCATGTCACTGATTACAGAGATCAAAGGGATCAAAGGCAGTGAGAGGGCCAGGTTTCCTGGCACAAGGAAGCAGAGGGGAGTCGCTACAGTATGTAAATAATACCTCAATTAATTGCCGCTGTATCATAGGGGTGGGACGGTGTTTTTGGCACCTGTGCAGTGATGAAAATCCCTTGAAAACAATCGCATTTCCATTCTATCTTAAAAAGCTAAATCAGTGCTCCAAACCTGACAATACTATATTATTATCTGAAACCTTTGGTAAGAGAAGAAACTATTATCATGCATATGTATAAGTCATATTTATATCATGCAGGATTAGCTGACCTTTAGCAACAAAATGGTATAAATGGAAAATCCAAGCTTTCTATTTTGACCCATGTGAGAGAGGCTGGTAAAGTTAATTAGAGCTGTATGTGAAAGAATGGTATTAAACCTGGGGGGAATAGAGACTGGTTTAAGCACCTCTTTTGCAGCCGCTTTAACCTGGCACACATAAAAAACACAGCCATGTTTTTCTCCTTGAGTAATTATTATTATATATTTCCTCCCGGCGGAGGGAGGTTATTCTGAATAGATGTTGCAGCAGCATAATGGTCCTCAGATGGCTGTTTCCTTGACAACGTGGGGAGGGTGTGTGGAGAGAGGTATAAAAACACAGGCAGCTCCTCGCCGAGGCTCACTCTGAGATAAATACACTCACTGTCAACACAGAGAGGGCCCTGATTCACTTTACCTTCCTATCTCAGAACACAGTCTGAGCCTCACCTCCAGAAGTTACCGTCAAGCATGATGAGACCTAAGGATCTGCGCCAGGGCTCTGGCACCAAGACCTTCCTGGACGCCATGCACGATGGCAAAGTGCACCTGGCACGCTTTGTCCTGGACGCGCTGGACAACCGCATAATCAACTCCAAGACGGAAAATGGCCGTACCCCTCTGATGTTCGCCGTTTGCCTGCAGGACCCCGGGGGCAGGGCTAAGTTTACCCGCTTGCTGCTGGAAAAAGGGGCCGACGTGAATTGCCAGGACGAGCACGGGCGTACCTCCTTGAGCCTGACCTGTGAGCTGGGCCACCTGGACGTGGTCAAACTCCTGGTGCAGTTCAACGCCGACCCTGATGTATCTGACGCCTGGGGGAACAGCGCCCTGATGTACGCAGCCTACACCGGCCACAGCCACGTGCTGGAGTTCCTGGTCAGGGCTTTCAAAAGAATGGGCCTGAGACTGGACCACACCAATCAGGCTGGCCACTCTGCCATCCAGGTGGCCAACTTCTTTGGGCACGACCAGTGTGTCCAGGCCCTGAACTCTGGGAGGAGGGGGGTGGTGTCAGATGACCCACTAGGGGAGGTCGGAATTGGGAAGGAGGCCGGGACAGAGCGGCAGCAGCCCAACAAGCTCCCCAGGCAGGTTCTGGAGAGGTTCTCTAAACAGTTCCACAGCCAGGATGAAGACCATCTGCCTGGCGTGTTCCAGAGACAGCTGAGGGTCGGGGACAGTAACAAACTGTGGGCGCGCATCAGATGCCAGAATCAGTCCCTAGATAGAAATGGCAATCACCTTGAGAGGGCCCTGTCGGAAGAAGAACAGGATGACATATTCACAGCCAAACAGATACAGAACCATAAGCTACGGGACATGGGGGGAGTTAAAAAACTAAGCCATCACCCAGAGCCATGCCAGAAAGATGTCAGCAGACACAGAGGAATGAAACTGGAGGTGCCAAAGAGTATTCCACTCTGGGACAAAGCAAAGCCATTTAACCTGGACCTCCTGAGCAGCAGAAAGCAGTCCTATCAGGGTGATATGCGTGACATGAGTCTATCAGGCAGTAAATTAAAGAGAGCCTCGCTGCAGGATGAGAGATCCCTGATAGCTAAGATTGAGTGTCAAGAGAGCACCTGTGAGGTGACAAACGATGCTGACAAAACTGTCACGGCATCAAAAGCACTTTTAAACTGTAAAAATAAATCTCAGAGAGCGCCCGAGGATTCCACCAGGGCGCCAAAAAATGATAATAATGACGTCACTCAATCAAGCAGGAGAGGGAGTCAGAAGCGCGGCAGCCTCCCGTCGAATGGGCGACTCAACAAACTCCTCTTCCACAGAGCAGAGATGGAGCCAGAGACGATTCCTGTCCGTCCACCGGGGTTCACCGGGCTGGGGACCAGATTACTGCGGCGATTCACTGCCCCCGAGTTCATGAGAATGGTAATTGACTGTTCCTCCGGTTCCTCACAGGGCAGAGGGAGGATGTCCCGGTCCGAGACTTTTCCCTTTTCAAACACGCACCAGAGAGTTAACAGTCAGCCAAGCGTGGACAGCATTAGCGGGGTGAAGTGTGAATTTGAGAGCAGTTCCCGAGTTGTCTCCCTCGAGTAAAAGGGAAACCAACTGTTCAATTTGGAGAATTAGTGGCAGTCGATTTGATAAAGCACTTTAGATTCCACATGTTCAAGCAGTGTGGTAGCTTATCTCCTTTATTCTTAGATTGTAAAATAACAATAATCATATAGCTCTAGCTAAGCTCGTGTTTCTTCAGACTAACGAATATAGCCCATTGCTTTGTCTGTAGATTCAGTCATGTGCTATATGCATAAATCGTAATGATGGCAGTGTCGCTTTTATTTGACAAAAATAATGTTATCTTATACTATTAATGGAATATGTAGCCTATACTCTATGTAAGCCTGTCATGTATAATTATTTACAATGAATCATGATGTTAATATGCACAAGCTATGCTATATGAATTGTCATATATTTATTAAAATATTTAAAAATATGACAGAATTCTCATTTCTGTATTTGATATGATGTGTGTGTGAGAGAGAGAGCGAGAGAGAGAGAGAGAGATGCAACTATGTGAAAGGGGACATTAAACATCAAACTGAATTGAATCAAAATAGCAGTGCTTAAATTATCAAGATCAAGAGTCAATATGCATTATTTATTGATTTTTAGAAAATGTAAATAATGTATAATTCTCTTCTTCGTGAATGTCCTACATAGAAATACAAATACGTGAAATATGTTGTATCACTGGTAAGAATACAAAGACAATGTGCAATGTGTTCTCAGCTGGTGGACGTTCTTCAGCATTACATGCCAAGCCTGTGTGCTTTATCTATTCAAACCAATGCAAATACTGTCACACACACATGTTCAGTAGCAACACACACATCCTGTAGTTTCAAAAGTCAGTCACAACACAGTGGAAGGGATGTTTGAGGCAACACTAACACAGCATCCAAGCGTAAACACACACACTTTCAAAATTAAGTTAAATTCATCCCATATAACTAACTATACAAGTAGTAAGTCCTAATATACAGTATCTGTATTTACATTATTTGTTAATCCGCTACGTTTCAAGTTGATAATCTAAAATTAAAATGTATTTGCAATTTCACATCTTAGGCTACAAACAGTTCACAACACTTTTCGGAAAGCAAAATCTAATAAATATTAAAAGGAACATGATTCCTTGAGCCCAATAAAAACAAACAGCCAACCCCTCATCTACACATTTGTCATGGTGATGTTGGAGGAAGGTCTCTCATGTCATCGCTCAGTAGCACGTTTTAAACATTCCGATCAGGCCAGGTGTGCCTTCATTTGGCCATGCAAATTGTTCACTGACAAGGTGCAAGGTTCCACTGAACTTCGGTCAGTGACCCATATGGTTGTAGAGGTATGTAACATCACGATTCTCTCCAAGTCATGAGCTACCATAACTTGAGCCTATATCACAGGCTGAAAATACACAACTAATATCCAAACACTACGATGGGAAACTGCTCAATTACAGTAAAGGTTCACAATAGGCTACAGTTTACAGTTCCCTTGGATTTCAAGTCTTATATAATGCACTAATGCTAGATTGGTGTTGTGTCGAGAGGAATTCCATTGGATGTCGTCTATCACAGGTAGGCCCAGACGTTGTTGAGATAAGTGAGGAATTCTGTTTGTTTGCATGCTGCCGTTACACTACGCCAACTCACTACTAAAGTGCTTCTTAGGTTTGCAAGCCCAGGCTGTGTCACTGTCTACCAAGCCTGCAAGCCTGCTGCCATGAGCTCTGTAGCAGTACCAGGCTCTCTGGGTCTGGATCTGCTCTCTGGTGCTGCTCCCTCACTGGGCTGGGTGCCGGCTGGGTTGGGCCTGGGTAGGTCACACTCAGGGTACAGTAGTAATCAGGGATCAGGGTCCTCCACGGGGGGAGGATCAGCAGCGGGACATGCGCTTGCGGTACTGCTCCACCAGGGGCACCAGGCACTGCGGGGAGCCGCTCTGTAGGAGAAAGGGGTGTTCTAGCAGGTCTGTGGCGCTGGCCCGCTCCACTGGGTCTCGCGTCAACATACGGTCCAGGAAGTCCTTCAACACTGGGGAGACCTACACAAAGTATAAAGTCCAAGTTAATTCAACAGACATGTTGAAAGAGCGAAAAGGTGTGTGTGTTTCTGTGAGAGTATGAGAGAGTATGTGTATGTATTCTGTTTGACCTATGACCTGTGTTGCGTTCCGTACGGTGGGAGCTGGCTCATCCCTCAGTCTTCTCATGGCTGCAACGGGGGTCTCACTGAAGTAGGGGGGCTCTCCATCCACCATCTCAACTACCATGATACCGAGAGACCACACATCCACCTGGCAGACACAATAAACCAGTATATTCTAACATCAACATCAGACAGTGTTGACATGCACATGAATACTGGACATCATGAGTATTTGTTTGGATACAGCTAGTATGTCATTAGTATAAAGTAATAAACCTGTACAGTTCATTAGGATACAAAGTATTTTGAATATCTTCTTTCTCACCTCAGTGCTGTACGGTGATTTAGAGATGACCTCCGGAGCCATCCAGTAGGGTGTTCCCACTAAAGACTTCCTTTTGGGGATGTCTTTACTGATCTGAGCACAGAACCCAAAGTCTGACAGCTTGATCTATACAGGACAGGGACATTAAAATTCAATTATCAACAGTTATGAATACATAAACAGGTGTGTTTTTCTCAACTGAAATAAAAATACTTATGAGAGAGAGAGACTTACCCTCCCATCCAGTGTTAGCAGTATGGAGTCACTCTTTATGTCCCTGTGGATAACCCCCTGGGAGTGAAGGTAGGCTAGGGCTTGCAGCACAGCCTCACACACTGTGGCTATCTGCTCCTCACTCAGCCTGCAAGGGAGAGTGACACAGATATACACAACACTCAACACGGCACTGCACTGCAAAATGGCTGCTGTCGCATCACCCAGGTGATGTTACACTTAGAAAAAATGGTTCTGAAAGGGTTCTTCGGCTGTCCCCATAGGAGAACCCTTTTTGGTTCCAGGTAAAACTATTTTTGGTCACAGCTAGAACCATTTTGGGTTCCATGTAGAACCCTCTGTGGAAAGTGTTCTACATGGAACCCAAAACGGTTCTATTTGGAACCAAAAGGGTTCTACCTGGAACCAACAAGTGTTCTTCAAAAGATTATCCTATGGGGACAGCCGAAAACCCCATTTTGGTTCCAGGTAGAACCATTTTGGGTTCCATGTAGAACCCTCTGTGGAAAGGGTTCTACATGGAACCCAAAATGGTTCTACTTAGAACCAAAAGGTTCTACCTGGAACCAACAAGGGTTCTTTAAAAGGTTATCCTGTGGGGACAGCCGAAGAACCCTATTAGGTTCTAGATAGCACCTTTTTTTCTAAGAGTGTAGTGGTGGGTGGTTTGGTGAGGTTCAGACAACTACATGCATTCACAGTATCTCGTGTTTGCATTATGAAAATACAGCCTAGGTGATTTTGAACACTGAAGAACTGTGTTACAGAAACACCTCAGAAAATACTTTTTTTCAGTTATGGCTGATAGCTTTTTTGAGAAAGGATTGGAGTATGAAGGAGGTATAATTTAGCAAAGGGGTATTCCAGACAGTTAAATCAATACAAATACTAATCTTGGGTTCTGACAAGCACTGAAAATGACAGCCAATATGATTTGGCCCATTTTTATATTTGAGAAATGCACTCAGTCCCCATGTGTCTAGACTCTGAAGTCAACTCCTGTCTCTGTATTGTGAATGAGCCAACTTTCAGTTTGGAATTTAAAATACATTGACAGGTAGAGTTAATATTCACTGACAATTCCACCTCTCTGATATCAAGTGGGCTATTTTCTTGCTTTTGTTTATGCATATAGATAGAGTATCTGATGTACAGTATTGAACAGGATGGGAGCATAGATAAAATCGTGTTTTGGGACTAAATTAATTTCACCACATTTTATTTGAACATACACTAATCTAATTATGTTATCAGATTATATTTTCCCATAGGAGGACACAGTGTTTTGCTCCAGTGGCAGTGAGAATGAGAGCGACTGTGTTTAGTACCACACTACCCCCTAACGGTGAATATAGGTACTGAGGACATAACTAGAATTTTGCTCCATCATTCTGTCACACGTCTTTGAAGTCTTGTCTCTTTAAAAATGCCTATATTTCACTTTCCATTGACCCCTCAATACAATTTGCCCCTTCTATGACAGCAATTATTTCTGGGGGTGTAGGTCAAGTCTGTGCTGTGTCTCCATACCTGGTCTCAGACACGATGTTGGTTAGTGCTCCACCCTGTAGGTACTCCATAATGACCCAGAGCTCCTCCTCCACCAGGGCACTCTTAAACATCTCCACCACGTTCCTGTGCTGGTAGTCCCTCATGATCACCACCTGGACAAACACATACAGTTGATAACAGAGGTGTCATGTAATGTAGCTGATGATTTCGAGAGGGCACTCATGGGCAAAATAGGTTATTTGGGTATTATTGTCAGGGAAACAGTGACTACATGTTATCTATCTCTAAGCTAGAACTAGATGGATCTAAGGGGGCATTTGCCCCCGCAGTTTCAATGTATTTTATTTGACAATTTAAAATATATAAACATGTTAAACCCGGCAACAGATACATAACATGTGGGCTCTGTTATGTGATGTGTTTTTTTTTTTGGGGGGGGGGGGGGGGGGGGGGGGGGGGGGGGGGGGGTTCAGGGGGGTGGGTTGATCAGCTTTAATATTGCAGATAGATTGTAACTTCCATCAATGCAATTGTCTGCATCACTTCCAATCCCCCATATGTTTTCTTCTCTCGCAAATATATATATATATATATATATATATACATACATACATACACATACATATACACATACAAATACATATACATACATATATATACATATCCTTAAAAAATATATATATTTCCCAACCCCACCACCCCTTCCCTAATTGGAGTAAACTAGTGAACAACAATGCTTAGGCCTCTACTTCCAGCTTATACATACTATTTTATTTTTTAATTTTTAATTTTACCTTTATTTAACTAGGCAAGTCAGTTAAGAACTAATTCTTATTTACAATGACGGCCTACACCGGCCAAACCCGGACGACGCTGGGCCAATTGTGTGCCGCCCTATGGGACTCCCAATCACGGCCGGTTGTGATACAGCCTGGAATCGAACCAGGGGGTCTGTAGTGACGCCTCAAGCACTGAGTTGCAGTGCCTTAGACCACTGCGCCACTCGGGAGCCCATATATACATTTTATGGACACAGTCAATTTTACAATATTTATATTTTGTTTGTTTTTACTCCTGAACTTCCTCTACCCTCAACCTCTCCGATCGTTTTCATGATGTCCATCCGGTTTGCTTCTATATGCCATATCTTTCTAACTGTGCTCTTTCACAAAAGCTCTCAACCTATAACCTATATACTTATTATGGACACAGTATGCTTTACATTAGTTATCTTGTTGTTATTAGTTGTTGTTAGTTGTTATTAGTCCCATCCTTCAACTCCATTCAACACCTCCCATCTATCTCTTAACACCATCCATATTGGATTTCTATTTGCCATATATTTTTCAACTGTACTGTGATGTTTTACAAAAGTTCTGAACCCTTCTATTCTCATTGTTTCTACAGATTGTAAATTGAAAATAAACATTTTTGCTAAAAGTATTATTATATTATTGATCGATTGACTATGACTTTTCAGATCACCCAGTAGTGCTATCTGCAGGGTTAGCTCCAGGTAAATATTGCAATCCTTTAGCCATTCCTGGACCTGTGTCCAAAAACAAGCTACAAATGGACAGTACCAAAACAAATGATCTAATGATTCTGTCTCTTCGCAGCAAAATCTGCAGAGCTGGGAAGATTGTATCCCCCATATAAACAACATTATATTGGTAGCAAGAATTCTGTATAATAATTTAAATTGAAAAATTCTAAGTTTTGAATCTGGCGTCGTTTTGCGTATCAGTTCATAAAGACTATGCCATGGAAACTCCACCAGTCCTACCTATGATATCATTTACGAAGATTATACCTTTTTTTTTTTTTTATTCAAAAAATAATGCTTTTTTAATCAATTAGGATATTTGAGTTTAACCCCAATATTTGTTGCATTATTTGTTCTGTCATTTCTGGAGGATTAAATTGAAATTGCAACCAGCTTTCTATGGCTTGTTTTAGAAATAATGATATTTAGGAGATGATTTCCTTTTCAAATAACTGAAAGTGAGAGGTTGTAATCTGAATAAAGGGGAAAAGGCCATTCTTGAACATTGGGTGAGACAATCTTACTAATTTGCTAGAGAACCAGTTCGAATTTAAGTATAACTTTTGTATGACTGAAGCTTTTAGTGATAGGTCTAATACTTTAATATTTAATAATTTCTGTCCTCCGAATTCATATTCATTATATAAATAGGCCCGTTTAATTTTGTCTGGCTTGCCGTTCCAAATAAAATTGAATATTTTTTTCTCATATAATTTAAAAAACTGTTCGCTAGGCGTAGGCAAGACCATGAGCAAATAGGTAAACTGGGATAATACTAACGAGTTAATCAGGGTGATTTTTCCACAAATAGACAGGTATTTACCTTTCCATGGTAGCAAGATCTTATCTATTTTTGCTAACTTTCTATTAAAATGTATTGGAGTGAGATCATTTATTTCATTTGCGATATGTATTCCGAGTATATCCACATCACCATCAGACCATTTTATTGGTAAACTACATGGTAATGTAAAAATTGTATTTTTTAGTGATCCAATACGTAACATCCAGAGAGGTTAGAAAATGTATCTAGATCCTCTATGAGGCTGTGGAGGGATTCAAGTTATGGATTTAAAAGAAAACATGAATCATCAGCGTACAATGACACCTCCCAACATGATTTATTGGTAATTCGGGGTGGTGTTGTGAGGAGGGTCATTGAGGATGGTGTTGATTGGAGGTCGTCATACCTCGTTGAAAAGCAGCTCTCTACGTTGTTGTCTCCGCAGGTCCATCATCTTCACGGCCACCTGCCTGCCGCTGTGTTTCTCCCGAGCGATACACACCACCCCTGTGGACCCTTCTCCAATCTTCACAAAGTTCTCCAGGTACGACCGAGGGTCTCCCTTGTCCACCACCATGTGCAGGGCAGCCTTAAACTGTTTATGGGTCACCTTGGGGGGGTCTGGTGGCGGCCTCTGGGGGTGCTGAGTTGGTCTGAAGGCAGGGGAGCATGTACCTGGGGGGCTGGTGGCCAGGGAGCCGGTGGGGAGGGCCGGAGCTGGGAGGGGCTGTCTGCTGAGGAAGGGAGCATTAGGGCAGCCTGAGTGTTCAGAAAGGGGTCAGGGACGTGGGTCTCAGGCCATGTGGGAGGAGGTGTACTGGCCTGAGGAGGAGCTGTAGGGGCTGAGTGCACTCATGAAGGGGACATGGGTGGGTGGCATGTGGGTAGGAAGCCGATGGTGTGTGCTCAGAGCAGCGACTCTGCCTGGACGATAACACACAGACAGGGAAGCAGAGAGGAGAGAGGAAGGACGGAGGGAGGACAGAGAGAGGGAGAAGACAAGAAGAGAGGAGAAGAGAGAGAGAGAGAGAGAGAGAGAGAGGAGAGGAGAGAGGAGAGAGAGAGAGAGGAGAGAGAGAGAGAGAGAGGAGAGAGAGAGGGAGGAGAGAGAGAGAGAGAGAGAGAGAGAGAGAGAGAGAGAGAGAGAGGTAGAGTTGGCTGTCTTCCCAGGGTCCCTGGCTTGCTTTATTGCTGGATGTAAATGTGTTTCACTCTCACACTATGCATTGACTTCACCTGGTGCGCTCCCTGCTATGACGGTGCCATAGGTACCTCAATGTACCTTTGAGATTATGAAAAACACAGCATCGCTCAATGTTTACAAGCACATCAAAGCAATAAAGTCACAAATCATATTTTAGCACCTCGAAAAAACCAACAGCATTAATTGAACAATCAACTGTAGAATGCAGGAATGCAGGCTGCTGTAAGATGGAGAGGAGCTACGGGCTCTATAGATGTTTTACCTAAAAAACTGTTTAAGAAGTAGCTCACAGTCCATATTATGCAAAGGTATTTTTAAAAGAGTAAAGCTGTAAGTTACAGTTTATACCACAGTCAACTTCTGGCCAATGTGAAATTAGTTGATGTACACTATATATACAAAAGTATGTGGACATCCCTTCAAATTAGTGGATTCAGCTATTTCAGCCACACCCATTACTGACAGGTGTATAAAATCGAGCAGACAGCCATGCAATCTCCATAGACAAACATTGGCAGTAGAATGGCCTTACTGAAGAGCTCAGTGACTTTCAACGTGGCACCGTCATAGGATGCCACCTTTCCAACAAGTCAGTTTGTAAAATGTCTGCCCTGCTAGAGCTTCCCGGTCAACTGTAAGTGCTGTTATTGTGAAATGGAAAAGTCTAGGAGCAACAACGTCTCACCCGCAAAGTGGTATGCCACACAAGCTCACAGAACGTGATCGCCGAGTGCTGAAGCGCGTAAAAATCGTCTGTCCTCGGTTGCAACACTCACTACCGAGTTCCAAACTGCCTCTGGAAGCAACATCATCACAAGAACTGTTCGTCGGGAGCTTCATGAAATTGGTTTTTCATGGCCGAGCAGCCGCACACAAGCCTAAGATCACCATGCGCAATGCCAAGTGTCGGCTGGAGTGGTGTAAAGCTTGCCGCCATTGGACTATGGAGCGGTGGAAATGCGTTCTCTGGAGTGATGAATCACGCTTCACCATCTGGCAGTCCGACGGACGAATCTGGGTTTGGCGGATGCCAGGAGAACGCTACCTGTTCCAATGCATAGTGCTAAGTGTAAAGTTTGGTGAAGGAGGAGGAATAATGGTCTTGGGCTGTTTTTCATGGTTTGGTCTAGGCGCCTTAGTTCCAGTGAAGGGAAATCTTAACACAACAGCATACAATTACATTCTAGACGATTCTGTGCTTCCAACTTTGCGGCAAAGGTTTGGGGAAGGCCCTTTCCTGTTTCAGCATGACAATGCCCCCGTACACAAAGCGAGGTCCATACAGAAATGGTTTGTCGAGATCGATGTGGAAGAACTTTTACCCAAAATAAATGATTCCAATTATTATTAGTAGTATTATTTTTTTGTTGAAGAACTTGACTGGCCTGCACAGAGCCCTGACCTCAACCCCATCGAACACCTTTGGGATGAATTGGAACTCAGACTGCGAGCCAGGTCTAATCGCCCAACATCAGTGCCCGACCTCACTAATGCTCTTGAGGCTGAATGGAAGCAAGTACCCTCAGCAATGTTCCAACATCTAGTGGAAATCCTTCCGAGAAGAGTGGAGGCTGTTATAGCAGAAAAGGGGGGACCAACTCCATATTAATGCCCATGATTTTGGAATGAGATGTTCGAGGAGCAGGTGTCCACATACTTTTGGTAATGTAGTGTGTGTCTGTGAATAATGTATCAATATAGATGAGAGATTATGATTAAGTGAAATGCTCACCTTCAGGTCATAGGAGGAGTATGGTCTGCCAGGGCTGTTGTGGGAGTGTATGTAGAGGTTGGTGCGGTACTCCGGAGGGGGGTGACCCCCATGGTCGGTATGGGTCTGCTGGACAGCCATGGCTGGGCTGTAGAAGAACGAGATGGGCCTCTGTTTTTGTGGCATAACCCTGGGCACCTGGAAGTCTCTCTTCACCATCAGTGTCTCTGTGGGACTGCCCACCTCACAGCTGATATAAGCCCCCTTAATAGGCACCTGCATTGGCTGGGACGGAGCCGGGGTTCCCTCCAGAGAGCTGATGCTCACTTCATAGGTGGACTTGGCCCTGGGGAGAACTCCGTTGGGCTGTAGGGTGATACTCTTCTTCATGCCCATGTGGGGCATCCCACTCTCACTGTGGATGTTATGAGCCCTGTCCCTCCACTGCTCCTGCTCCAGGTCATCTTCTCTCAGGTCTTCATACTGGTAGGTGTCCCCCTCCTTCACCTCACCCAGCCTGCCCAGGGACTGGGCCCTCTTCCTGGTCGAAGGGCTGCTCTTCCTCAGGGAGTTGGAGCTGGTCACGGACAGCCTGCTCATGTCGGAGATCATGGCTGAGATGTAGTCTCCATGGCCAATCATACTCCCACGCACGATGGTCTGAAAGGAAGGCAGTGATGTTCAGCCAACCACATTGACTGGAATGATTGTAACATACTGCACACAGGCACTTCTATTTTGCAATGTGGGTTGTATAAAAACTGTAATGACGGATAGATTATTTCTGATGACTGAAATCTCAAGCAGCACACATCACAGCGGCGTAGAGAAAGAACATTAACTTGCCCTGACAGAACAAGATGACACAGACTTAAAAAATGTGTTGGCCGAAGTGCCTTCCAGTTTAACCTATTAGAGAAAAGGCCCATTGGCTGATTACTCAATCTCTAGTTAAAGTCAAGTTATGTTCACCATCACGAGAGTCTCCTATGTTTCTCTGTCTTTGGTATGGTGCTCTGGTCTGCTCTCACAGTTGCACAGGTGACTTAGCCATACTAATTAACATCCTACTGCAAACTCTTTACAAATGACAAAATTGTTCAAATGTCTCAAATGTAATCATGTTTTTTGTAACCTCTCCAACCTTTGCCTCTGCCATACACGCTACATTATTTACAGAACACAAGTCTCCTCTGTACTACCAATCCAATCCTGATGATCCTAGTAAAACCATGACTATGCTTCAGAAGCTGACACTGTGATTATGAAACGCAAAGCTCAAATTTATCCACTGGTGGTAATGAAAATGTATTTTTATAAGGGGCATGTCGGCATGAGCATTCAGCCGAGTGCAGAAATCCTTAGATTTGCAGGCTCTATCGCTCACTGGCATTTCCAGTGCTGTACCTGGACTTTCTATCCCTCAGCCTGACATCTATGGGAAGACACCATGGATCGTTATCAATTGCCTGCATGGAGTAATAAATCTTGGAGCCCTCCAAGGATTCATGTTGTACTGTCAATGTACACAGCAACGTCATTAGCTGAGCCCCGTGATAGATAAGAAAGCAATATGACAGGGAGAACAGCAAGTGTTGTCCACCACACTGCCATCACTGGACTAGGGAAACTTTAGACTACAATGGCAGGGTAACTCTGCTGCAGATCTAAAGGATGTTATAATTAGAAAGAAGAATGCTTTTGATGGAGGGTTTTGAGGCTTACTAATACAGGAATATTCTCAGAAATAAAATAAAATCCAACAAGGTGAGCTGAGAATAAGGTCCAGTACCTTCTTTGGCTTGAGCTCCACAGGGGTGATCCGGGAGGGGTCCACCATAGGCTTGGGCCTACGGAGGTTTTCTATCAGACTGTGCCATTGGGTCGGCAGGCCCACGAAGCAGCCCCGCTTGGCGTCAAACGAGGTGTGCACCCGGTGCTCAAAGTTCTTTGGTGTTGAGATCTCTGGCCTCTTCTTTTTCTTCTTACGAAACATCGTCAGGTCCAGGAGAGTGACAGCTTGCCAAATTCAAGACGGCCCTGCACAGACAAGAAATAGACACATTAGAGACATTATTTTTCTAAATTAGCAGCTCACTGTTAACATCTACTGTTGATACAATTGATAAAGTCACTTACAGCTTCTCTAATCTATGAACAGTCAATTATCCAGCAATGTGTACGTTGAAGTGACTACGCCATCATCAGACACCCTTCCATTAGAAAGCAAAATACAAGTGAATAAACTCCAATCTGTCTGTCAAAAACATATTCTCTATGTCCATCTTCCAGACTGGCTTTCTGTCTGTCATTTGCTTTTGTGCCTTATAACCCGTCTTAGGGGGACAGAGTGCATTAGGTTTGTAAGCCTGTGTGTAATGAAGGACATCTGGACAATTAAGGCTTATTCATTCTTACTTAGGAGCACACAGTCGGCCTGGCCAGAGCCCACAGGCTTTCAGTGCATTAGAGGGAGGAAAACACAAATAGTCTACCCACCATAACCCCTAACGTCCCTATGCTGGAGTCTACCCCCATCCTTATGCTAATGAAGAAGCATGACTTTCTCTGGCTTCTAGGGAAAGTGACCTCTCAAGTTTGAGGTATAAAGCGGAGTGGTATAGTGTAAGCTAGGGACACTGCTGTCATGAATCTTATATGTACAGTGGGGTCTGCAATTATTGACACCCTTGATAAAGACGAGCGAAAATGACTGTATAAAATAAATAATTCAAAATACTGAGCTATATTGTATACAAAAAAAATTCGGTAATTATATTATTTTATACTAATATAATTGCTCAGAGAAAGAGATTTTGTTTAACAAGTAACATTTTATTTTCTCAAAATGTAGGGGTCAAAAGTATTGAAATCTCTGTTAAATACTTTCAATACCAACATTTTGCAATGGCCATCTCAGTCTCTGGACTTGAAACCCATTAAAAACCTGTGGTTTGAATTGAAGAGTGCAGTCCATAAGCGCAGACGAAAGATATCAAGGATCTGGAAGATCCCTCCCAGTGTGTCCTCCAACTCACAAAACATTTTAGAAAAAGGCTCAGTGCTGTTATCCTCGGAAGGTGAGGTATTGAAAGGTGTTGAAGACAGGGGTGTCAATAATTTGGACCCCTTCCTTTTTGAGAAAATTGTTTATTACTTGTTCAACAAAATCTCTTTCTCTGAGCAATTGTATTAGTATAAAATCATATTTTGGAGCATACAATATAGCTCGGTATTTGAATTATTTATTTTATACAGTGTCACGACGTCGGCCGAGGCTGCCTCCCCTCCTTGTTCGGGCATGCTTCGGCGTTCGTCGTCACCGGAGTACTAACCATTGCCGCCCCAATCATCATCACAATTGTCTTGTCTCGTTATCACACACACCTGGTTCTAATCCCCTAATTAGTCTGTGTATAAGTGTTCAATCTGCCCCCTTGTCCTTGTGGGTGATTGTTTATTGTGGAGGTTAGTGAAGCTTGTGTATTTTGTATCGACGGGAATGTTTTCCCGTGTGCCTTGTATTTTCCAGTGCACCTGTTTTGTGCCCTGGAGTGTGTTTGACACATTTCTGCGTAAACCTGTATTTTGCGGATTAAAGCCTGTTATTCTGTGATTTACCCTCCTGCGCCTGACTCTTTCAACACCACCTTATCACAGAATCACCCACCTGAATATGGAGTCAGCGGGAGAAGAGCGCATGCCTGGAGTCGTGGCACGGGTTCTTCAGGTCGTCCAACGCCTGGAGAGGAGAGAACCCAATCTGTCGAGACCAGCTGGCCAACCGGATCCAGCCACCTACACCCCAGCACCCGGAGGGATCCAGATATCCCGACCACAGGCGTTTGATGGGATGACGGCGCTGTGCCAGGGATTCCTCCTCCAATTGGAGCTTTACTTCGCCAGCATCAGGCCGGAACCATCGGAGCGGGAGAAGGTGTCCGTCCTCGTTTCCTGCCTCTGTGGGAAAGCCCTGGAGTGGGCCAACGCGGTGTGGAACGAAGGAGGAGCCGCGTTCGAGAACTACAGGGAGTTCGCTCGCCTCTTTCGGGCGGTCTTCGATCACCCGCCCGAGGGTCGAGAGGCGGGTGAGCGACTGGTCCACCTGAGGCAGGGGATGAGGACCGCGCAGGACTTCGCCTTGGAGTTTCGGACGCTGGCAGCGGGGTCTAGGTGGAACGAGCGGGCCCTGATCGACCATTTCCGGTGCCATCTGCGGGAGGACGTCCGACGGGAGCTAGCCTGCCGAGACCCCATGTTGTCCTTCAACAAACTGGTGGACATGGCCATTCGTTTGGACAACCCGCTGGCAGCCAGAGGACGTCCTGGTAGGGGTCTGCCCGTTTCCACCCCGGACGACTCGGATCCTGAGCCGATGGAGCTGGGTGGAGCCGCCGGCCGAGAGAGCGGAGGAGGACAGCGACAGTGCCACTCTGGTGGCACGAAGGGACAATACACCACACGTCGTAGTCAACGTTCATTTGGGCTGGGAGGCGGCAGGCAGGGCACTCACGCATCACCCCTCTGCTGCGCACTGTACCCTACCTATCCACTTTCCCGATCTCATGGTAGTTCCCCAGTGTAAGGCGCTAGTCGATTCAGGCGCAGCTGGGAACTTTATGGACAGGGCATTCGCACGCTGTCAAGGCATAACATTGGTTCCCCTATCCATTCCACTCCCCATCAGAGCACTCGATAGTCGACCAATAGGGTCCGGGTTTGTTACGGAAGTCACGATACCAGTCACCATGATCACCCAGGAGACTCATTGTGAGCAGGTAATTTTTTCGATTATTGAATCTCCTGCTTTCCCTGTGGTATTAGGTATCCCTTGGCTAGCACTCCACAAACCCCACCTTCTCATGGCCGCAGAGGGCTCTCACGGGGTGGTCGCAAGAGTGTCAGGGTAGGTGTCTAGATGTTTCCGTTGGTTCAACCACGGTGGAAAGTCCAGACAGTACCTCCACCGTGCGCATTCCCCCTGAATACCTCGATCTGGCGCAAGCGTTCTCTAAAACGCAGGCGACTAAATGACCACCTCATCGGGCAGTGGATTGCGCAATAAACCTCTGGGTAGACGCTGTACCTCCCAGGAGTCATATATACCCCCGTCACAGGCTGAAACGGTGGCTATGGAAACCTATGTCACCGAGTCCCTGCGCCAGGGGTATATACATCCCTCCACTTCACCCGCCTCCTCGGGTTTCTTCTTCTTCTCTGACTGAGGTCTGCGCCCGTGCATTGATTATCGACCATTGAACAGGGAGACGATAAGATTTAGTTATCCTCTCCCCCTCATTCCTTCGGCAATTGAATCAATGCATGGGGCACGCTTTTTCACCAAATTAGATCTCAGGAGTGCGTACAACCTGGTGCGTATCCAAGAGGGAGATTAGTGGAAGACAGCATTTAGCACAACCACGGGGCATTATGAATACCTGGTGATGCCCTATGGTTTGATGAATGCTCCCTCAGTTTTCCAGTCCTTTGTGAACGAGGTGTTTTGGGACATGCTTGGTCGCGGTATAGTGGTCTACATCGATGACATCCTGGTGTATTCCGCTACGCGCGCCGAGCATGTGTCCCTGGTTCGCAAGGTGCTGGCCCGACTGTTGGAAAATGACCTTCATGCTAAGGCAGAGAAGTGTATGTTTTTCCAGCAGTCCGTCTCCTTCCTTGGATACCGCATTTCCACCTCAGGTGTGGAGATGGAGGGAGATCGCATTTCAGCCGTGCATAATTGGCCGACTCCAACCACGGTTAAGGAGGTGCAGCGCTTCCTTGGCTTTGCCAACTACTATCGGAGGTTTATCCGGGGCTTTGGCAAGGTGGCAGCTCCCATTACATCCCTGTTGAAGGGTGGGCCATCCCGGCTCCGCAGGTCTGCTGAGGCTGACCTGGCATTTAGGAGACTACGGGGTCTGTTCACCTCAGCTCCGATACTGGCCCACCCCGATCCATCACTACCGTTCGTAGTGGAGGTGGATGCGTCCGAGATAGGGATAGGCACTGTCCTGTCCCAACGCTCGGGCACGCCACCCAAGTTCCGCCCCTGTGCCTTCTCTAAGAAGCTGTTGGCTGTTGTCCGAGCCTTGACCGTGTGGAGGCATTGGCTCGAAGGGGCGAAACACCCTTTCCTCGTCTGGATGGACCACCGTAATCTGGAGTATATCCGGGCAGCGAGGAGGCTGAATCCTCGCCAGGCCAGGTGGGCCCTATTCTTCACCCGGTTTGATTTTACATTGTCATACATTCCGGGTACGAAGAACGTGAAGGCAGACACACTGTTCCGGCTGTATGACACAGAGGAGAGGCCCAGAGACAAAAACCCCCATACTCCCGGCCTCCTGCATTGTGGCGCCGGTAGTATGGGCGACGGACGCGGATATAGAGCAGGCATTACGCACAGATCCATCTCCACCGCAGTGTCCAGCTGGGCTGCGGCACGTGCCTGCTCTTATCCGTGATCCTCTGATCTTCTGGGCACACACGTCACCCTCCTCTGGTCACCCAGGTATCAGCCGTACAGTGCGCTGCTTGAGTGGAAAGTACTGGTGGCCTACCTTGGCTAAGGACGTGAGGCTGTACGTCTCCTCCTGCTCGGTGTGCACCCAGAGTAAGACACCTAGGCACCTCCCAGCGGGTAAGCTACAACCATTACATGTTCCACAATGACCATGGTCTCATCTTAGTATTGATTTTCTGACTGATCTTCCCCTCTCCCAAGGTAACACCACCATCCTGGTCGTTGTGGACCGCTTCTCCAAGTCCTGCCGCATCCTTCCTCTGCCCGGTCTCCCTACGGCCCTGCAGACTGCGGAGGCCCTGTTTACTCACGTCTTCCGGCACTACGGGGTGCCAGAGGATATAGTGTCCGATTGAGGTCCCCAGTTCACGTCCAATGTTTGGAAGGCGTTGGAATGTCTGGGGGTCTCGGTCAGCCTGACCTCTGGGTTCCACCCCGAGTCAAATGGGCAGGTGGAACGAGTAAATCAGGATGTGGGTAGGTTCC